AGAAAGACCTCCAGACTGTCTGACTCTGACAGAAAGACCTCCGGACTATCGGACACTGACTTACTGACTATCTGACTCTGACAGAAAGACCTCCGGACTATCTGACACTGACTTACTATCTGGCTCTGACAGAAAGACCTCCAGACTGTCTGACTCTGACAGAAAGACCTCCGGACTGTCTGACACTGACTTACTGACTATCTGACACTGACAGAAAGACCTCCGGACTGCCTGACTCTGACTTACTGACTACCACGCTGGCTGACTATTGGACTTATTGGTGTCTGAAGATCACCCTGGTTGTCTGACCATCTATCGGGCTTCCAGACAAACTGAATGAAGCCTGACAAGGTCTCCTGGCTGGACTGTGGAAATGGAGGACGCAGGGCCTGGGAGAGAGTGAGACGAAGCCCACTGCTCCCGGTTTCTCTGTGGTTCTTCCGGCTCCACTCCCCTCCTACACTCCTTCCTCTCCTCCGCCAGCGCGCGCCTCTGCTGGAGCAGCGAGCAGCTTCCTCCCGAGCTGTGTGGGCGGACCGGAGCGGATCTGGACACCTGTTTCAGTCCTGCCGGCGTTTCCCATCCTCCCTCCCTCTCGGCCCTCTCTTCCTCGCTAGACCAGCAGGAATTACCCCTGCAGAGGAAGACGAGGGAGAGATGGGGGGGGAGAGGACAGAGAAGGGGGAGAGACAGGGGGCAAAGAGAGAGAAGAGATAGAGGAAAGGGGAGACAGAGGGAGAGAAGGGGGAGAGGAGAGAGAAGAGAAAGAGGAGAAGGAGAAGAGGGAGAGGACAGGAGAGGAGATGGAGAGACAGAGAGAGAGAGAAGGTGGTCCATGCTGGAACCAGTCTAGTCACTCTGGGGGTTGGTGAAGTAGCAACAGAGAGGGAGGAGGAGGAGGGAGGACGGGCCAGCACTGTAATCTAGGGATTTCAGAGCCAACAGACCCAATCCTTCCTGGTTTAAATGCAGTAGAGGAAGGGGGAGTTCAGATTAAGGAGAGATTACTGCCAGCTCTCAGCACGTCTGTCATCAGTCTGAGAGCCAGCAAGATAAACCCAGCCTGTCACTTGCTTTGCGGTTCCTTACCTGTGCATGTCAATGTTCCTTCTCTCATTACGGATTGTAGTTTTCTGTTGAATGCTTGTTTTCATTATAATGTGAAGACTGACGGACATTTTTTCTAAAATGAGATCTGGATTTTTTAACAGAAGAATACACTTTGACCATATAAAAAGGTCAAGTTAGATTTTTTTTTTCATTTCTTGTTTGTCCTTTTGTGTTTTTGAGTTCACGCCAGCCACCACAAAAGTGGGGTTGGCTTGAAATTTATTTTGTTGTTTGTGTACTTATTCTGGCCACTGGGCCAATTTGGTGAGGGCATATCGCCTCACCTTGGCAGCCATATTGGTGAGGTCAAGCCACTTTTGTTCCTTTACTCAAACCTGCTTGCCCTGACAACCATGTTGGTGAGGTCGGGGCTGGTGCTTTCCTCTTCTGTAATCTTGCTGTACTCATATTCTGTGGGTGTGTGTTTGTGAGTTTCCTTCACTCTGGATTTTGAATGCTGTGACTCATGTTCAATTGTGAATTGAAAAGAAAAAAAATCTTTTTTGTGAGATTGTTTTTGATTTCAAAGAAAATTTGTTAAAAGGAAAGATAAAAAAATAAATAAATGTTATATTTGGTTTACAAAAATATGTTGGTTGTTGATCTGTTTTTTGACAAATGTGTTTATAAAATTTTTATATATGTGTAAACTCTAGACTACATACTTATGAGACTCTCTCTATATAAACACACCTGGAGTACAGACTCATTGGAGACTCTGTATACACAC